TGTGTGTGTATTGGGGGGGGAGGGGGGCATGTGGTAAAACAGTCAGTTTTACGGATAACAGTACCAAGACACGACACTAAAACAGCAACTGCTTTGTGGCTGGGTGGTAGAATGTGGAGTGTACATGGCATGTGTTTCAAGTCTGGTAGACGACAGTCCTGAGGAAGGACTTGCAAAAAAGGACTAAGAATGGGCTTATGTCTGCGGCATAGCTGTTAGAGAGTAATTTCTTTTCGTGGCTTGTGCGGGAAATTAACTATAAAGATGGGGAAGATTATTTTAATTAGTTTTTAAGGGTGTTGTTTCAAGAGAGATTTGTAAACACGTTTAGTATGTTTGCTTTCCTTTGTGTCAGGGTATGCGTGCGTGACGGGCTGAGGGGTAGAAAAGGGGCAGAGCAAGAAAACGCAAGACAGACAGACAGACAGACAGACAGACAGACAGACAGACAGACAGACAGACAGACAGACAGACACACACACACACACACACACAAAACATAACAACATTTCGTAATGCACAGAAACAAAAAACAGCAATTATAAACCACACAAAACAAAGAAAGGCTTACCACTTTCGTTTTCGTCCACCAGCGCTTGGGTAGGGGTAAACACGGGGTTCCCATACCCTGCAATCATGGTAAGAACGACTGACTTAATAATTAAAGAGAAGTGCATGAACACAGTCAACACACAACGAAAGGAAAGACCCAGGTACAAATTAAGACATCACAAAGAGCAGACCTGAAAGTCCACCCGGGGAAAGAAACAAAGGCACTGAAGATAACATAATATTATGTGTTAAAGACATAACGATCAAAGAAATGCCCACAGAGAAGTTGAGAGAAGTGACTTCTTTTCCGGGTCTAGAAAGTGTAGATCTCCCTACCCAGGCTGGCTAGGGAGACCAGGATCCTGGTCTCGGGAGACACTTCCAAGAAAAAGCATCGATCAACCACCGTAACAAAAGGAAAGGCACTCGACACACAGATTATTATTTACTGCAGATTTCGGGACTCACCGTTTCGTAATCGTACGCCTGGATAAGAATGACGTCAAACCGCCATTGGCCCGTAGCGATTTCTGTCAGGTTTTTGATGCTGAATCTTGATGGGTCAGTCGGTTGAACATTGACCAGAGAGCAGAAAGGGCTGTAAGTCACCTCAAACAAGAGGGCATCTGAAAAAAACAAAAACAAAAAACCCCATTCATACAAAGAAAGACAAATTAACAAGTAAGCAAAGAAACAAACAAAACAATGGTGAAAACAAACAAAACAAAACAAATGAAGGATAAAACAAAAAACAACAAAAATAAAAACAACAACTGAAATCTACTATAACCCCCCC